AAGGGGGGGGGGATCATTGGCACGGGCAGCAGGTCGCGGGACCGGAAGCTCTTTTCTGAGCGGGGAAAGCTTTTTAAAAGTTTAATAAACCTGACCACAGAGTCACTTTATGAACCGTGTCTGGGGTCAATGGGTGGTCTTCATGGGTATGTCCAGATAGAACTTCTCTTTTATAGTTTTGGGGGGAAAACTAGAACCCCTGTTGGATTTTTACTGCCATCCAGAACTCCCTATCAAGTGAGGGGAAATCTACCAAAAGGAAAACATTTTAACCATGTATACCCTATCCCATTCCCCTTCTGTCACCTCCCCACCAGCCGCAGCAAGAAAGCTTTTTCTCCCCTACCCAGTGATCACTCACTCAGACTGCAACATGCTAGTTCATCATAGAGCAGGCGTAGGCAACCCTGACACATCAGCTGGGCTGAAATTACAAATCCCCTCATGCCTCTTCCTTTGGGAGTCATGCTTGTGGCTGTCAGAGCCTTTCAGTGCCTCTCGGGACTTGTAGTCCCACAACAGCTGGAGTGCTTAGGCTGCCTGCCTCTACCATAAAGCAAGAGGTATAGCAGCAGAGCCTGATCTGTGTCAAACAACACCACGCGGCCAAGAACCTCAAGACCGGTTCAGGTTGCTAATCCCGGATGGTTCTTGAACAGTGGCAGCTTTGTGGGGAGAGGAGAAGTACTGTTCAGGGGGAGGACTGTCTGTGATCTCTGATTCCTGACAGTGTTACAGTGTCACATGACATAGACAAGCAATTAAAATTCGAATGGGGTCACTAACATTCTAAGTAACGCAGTCATTAGATATCCGCTCGCGACTTCAATGCGTTTCCTGAACTGTAAAGGTTATAAATGATCACATTCTGATTTAGGGGTTTTGTTTTAAAACCAAAATGTACATATTGAACATTATATGATCATAGAATGTGCATTATGATAAAGAAAGAATACAATTGTATCTATGATCGACAATATTATATCTTATACTGAAGATAAAATAACATTATATGATCATAGAGTAACATTGTATCATAATAATAAAATACACCGTATTGCCAAAAGTATTGGGACGCCTTTACACGCACATGAACTCTAATGGCATCGCAGTCTTAGTCCGTAGGGTTCAGTATTGGGTTGGCTCCGCCCTTTGCCGCTATAACAGCTCCGCCTCTTCTGGGAAGGCGTCCACAAGGTTTAGGAGTGTGTCTATGGGAATGTTGGACCATTTGTGAGGTCAGGTACTGATGTTGGAGGAGGGGCTCGCAGTCTCCGCCTCTAATTCATCCCAAAGGTGTTCTATGGGGTTGGGGTCAGGGCTCTGTGCGGCCAGTCAAGTTCCTCCCCCCTCCCCCATCCATGTCTTTATGGACCTTGCTTTGTGCACTGGTGCGCAGTCATGTTGGAACAGGAAGGTGCCGTCCCCAAACTCCTCCCACAAAGTTGGGAGCATGACATTTTCCAAAATCCATGAAGCTCTCTACGCACTGTTGTTGCGCCAATCTGAAGGCCGCATGGAGTTTAGAGGTCTGTAGCTATTGACTCTGCAGACAGTTGGCGACTTCTGCGCACTGCGCGCTTCAGCATGCGCTGACCCCGCTCTGTCATGTGACGTGGCCGACCACTTCCTGGCTGAGTTGCTGGTGTTCCCAGTTGCTTCCACTTTGTTATAATCCCAGTAACAGGTGACCGCGGAATATTTAGTAGCCGGGAAATGTCACGGAACACTTGAATCCAATGATTTGGAGGGGGAGGGGCCAATACTTTTGGCAATATAATGTATATATTATATGTACTGAAGATAGAATAACATTGTATGATAATAATAAAATATACATGATAGCCAGTTGGGTAAATAGTGACACGCCGCCGCGGTGCCCATAAAACATAAACAGTTTGGTGTCCACAGTACAGAAATCTTCAGCTACATTCAAAGAAGAGAACTCTACAAAGTGCACCTCTAGCTGATTTATAATGAAGACATTTTACACTTCCTACAACACAATCTTATTATACACAAGATACATATACAGTATATACTAACATACAATAATATATACACAGACAATAA